CTCTTTAATAACGAATTAATTTTTTAAAATTTTTTAATATATGTATATATATATATATATCTTAATACTCACATATAATGTAATATATATCACAAAAATATCAAAATAAAAATCAGTACTCACATTTTTTTTAGTTTTTAATATATCTGTGTATTGAGAGTGAGAAAAAGTGACCACACAAATTCAACACGCACTATCAATAATTTTAAAATTTTAAATATTTAATAATTAAAATATGAATCGAAGTGGTAAAATGAAAATCATATACATATAATATCATGATATAAACTTAAAATATTTACCATTCGTATGTATTAAAAAAATCTATGTATCTATAAACAAAAAGTAAATGATTATAAAATGGAAATCAACCACGAGCAAGTAGCAAGACATAAAATTATCAAGTTATTTAATTAAAATGTATTGTTTTAGTGAAAAGGGAAATATTAAAATTAAAAAAAAAAAGAGTAGTAATGAAAAATTAAAATACTTTTACTGTGCAAGTTAATACGTATGTTATTTGATGAATATATAGTTTTGGCATGAAACTCAAATCGTTTTCTTTTGGGTATGAAATCTTATTTGATATTAATTATGTTAAAGGTAGATCGAATGAATTTGCTATTTTGTGTATTGATAGTAAACTGTTACAAATATTTAACTAGGAAATTTTAATCAATAATTTTGTAGTCAATAAAAAATTATATTAAAATGAAATTTAAAGAATATAAATTCATTTAAAACCTCAAGAATGTTGATGAGAATAAATTATGTGTATATAGAGCTTATAACTATTTTGGATATTTTCCAAAAGGTCCGGATAAGGAAAACCAATTGGATATATTATTTCTGCGTTGTGACATTTTCCATTTTACAATGTGAATCCATTATCGCACAAAATATGCCGCATCGTATTTTTCTTTGAAATCTAAGCCAATATTTGTGTAGAATATTGAGATCACGATTACTTGTATAACCTTTTCTGGACATTCTAAACCACTACACAATGGAAAATCATTTGGATTTGGAAACACAAATCAAAAGTGATATTAAAGCTGTTTTTTTACCCTTTTGTAGAAGTTGTTAATAAAAGAGGATGAAATGCTAGTTGAGTGGCCTATAACTTCTCAAAATATCATTTGGCAAAATTGAACTCTTATTCTTCTACGATATTAAATATACAATTTTAAATCGATGGTACTAACTATTGTTATTTGTATATCCTTTATTGAAACATGTAGAACTTTGTTGCGACTGTTATTTTTTTAATTTCATGTATTCATTTATTTAAAGTTTTTATTGATTGAATTGTGAAAATATAATAGCCTAAAATGTTTAAATTCCACGTACAACATATTGAATACATATTTTTATTTTTATATTATCATTTAACATTAAAATATTTATAAAAAAAAATTAAATGAGTAGAAAGATAATTGAAAAATAATTTCTATAAAAGCAATCAAAAATTCAATTATAAATAGATGAAACGAATCAAATATGAGTTTTATTTAAGCAAGTCAAATTCAAATTTTAAATTAGACTCATTTAATCAATTCGTTATTTTTTAAAGTAATTTTACACTTTATATATTCAATTGGTTTGTCGCGTCTGCATTCATAATATAATATATATATATATATATATATATATTGCATGCAACATCAAGAACTATTGTTACACCTGTTACATGTCCATTCGGAACACATGCTTTGGACTGAATGGTATTTTTGTCTACAAATCTCACATAATTTAAAAATCAAAATTTAAAATAATTTATAAATCTGTTTTCCTTCTTAATCTATCATACATTTTTTTTAAAACAGTGATGATTCTACGAGTTCAAAAGATTCTAATGTCAAACAAACTTACTCCGAAAACAAATAATATTGAAATGATGAATATGTATAATTCATTTATTAATAAATTTGTCAAACTGACTCAGATGATAGCAAAATCAATTCAAAGAATAGTAAAAAAAAGAAAGAAAATTGAAATGGTTCAGTAAGTGCAAAGGAAATGTTGAATATTGGTTGGTTGATGAAGAAGAAGATGGAAAGAATATGATTGGCATGATGGGGTGCTAGTTATGGACATTAACAGAGCTTCCTCCATATCCTTAGCTACGTTTCTCTGTATCAACGTTATTACGTACTCTATGAATGCGGCTTCACAAGGCAACGTTAGTGGCACGTTGCTACACAGACCAAACTCCTCTTCTGCCAACTTGAAAAGCTCTCTCAAGATATTGCTTTTCAAATACACTAAGGGAAGCACAAATCGCTTCTTATATATCCATGCTATACACAACAAAGTGACCCTTCACGCTGTGACCTTCTGCTCTTGCTGCATTCTTTCGCCATATCATTCTCTTCCTTTGGTAACTTGTGGCATGTTTCTGCCACTTCAAACCCATTTGGTAGATTTTTTTGGAACTAATTATCATTCTTTTAATTAACAACTTTTGATGGATATGGCTATGAAGTGGTTGGTTGTTTATATAGTAAGTGGTCCAGAGACAAATTCTTGAATGGTGCATGATATTGTGCCTTGTTTTAAGTGGAAGCGAAACCATGTGACTTATGCGTTAATGTGTAGTAGAATTAATTTACGATGTTGTGGTCTCGGGGGAATGGATTTATTTAGTATGTCCCAAATCAATTTGGCATATTTTGGGGTGGGCACTTTGTATCTGGTTTATTGAAGGGAAAATGGGAAAGAAGGGGTAGCCAAGAAGCATTAGAAAATGAAACATGAATGTGTTAACTTTGGAGAAGTGGGTACAAATGGTGGAGCATTTGTTGATGACTTTAATTGTCAAGTTTGTAGGCATTCGCCGACGTTGTGGACAAGTCAGAGTCATTATGGTGATGGGCCAAATGAAAAAGGAGTATGTTGGGCCAGAAGAATTATGTGTCAACTGTCTCTCACACAAGAATTTAGTGCCCAAATCATCCAATGTATCCTAGAGTACTTTTTCACAGCATCAAAAGTTGATAGAAGATCCAATTCAAGAGGCTTGCGTTCCTCAAATAATTGCACAGAAAGACTCAGATTCGTATCCACTTGCGTACAAATATTTACTATGAATCACAACGGACCGGATATGTGTATTTCAGAATCGGGTTTCATTTGGCTGGTTCAGGGAACGAAACTAACCATTTCCATTTTCAGAATCGGGTTTCATTTGTCTGCTTTATTTCAAGCCAAATAAATTTTGATTTGGATCCTTTCTTTTGTATAATAGTCTATTTTCATAAAGAGTTAATCACCTATACACTGTCAATATAAATTTTTTTATACTAGTAACTAATTATATATTTTAATTGTGTCATGTCATTGTTAAAAGTAAATGTGTTTATAGTGACATGATACAATTAAAAGATATAATTGATTGCTAGTTTAAAAAAACTGTACACTGGCCGTGTATAAGTGATAAACTCTTTCATAAAAATCAAATAAATTTTTAAAAAATTCATCATAATACATCTAAAGTCTATATTTAATTTCAAATTCATTATATATCTTATAATACATATATAAATCGAAGATAGGCTTTGTATTGAGTTGAAATTATAGATAATATGAAAATTCATTAAGCAAAAAGTTTTTCAAAATATATGTATATAATACTTTGGCCAGATATAGATCGATTGGGTGGGTTTTCATGTTAATTTGATTAAAACGAATCAATTTATTTATTTTATTTTTTCATTTTTTAGTTTGTTTAATTTTTAGTTTTTCAACTCTTTAGATTTTTATATTTTAACTAAATTGATTTTGTTTTGGAAACTTCTATTATCAATGTAATGCACTAGTTACTATTTTGCAAATGGGAGACGAAAATGATGAGCGGGAAACGTTAAAGAATGATGGTAAAGAAAGAAGAATAAAAGTTATCTATTCAAAATTATTCATACAAGTCTCACTTTATGGAGTAAAATAAATAAATAAATACAAGTCAGATTTTTGTTTCAGTGACATTTTGCATTATTGTGGTTACAATAAAAACATCATGAATGTAAAAAGAATGAGTTAATCACTTATACATTATCAGTGTAAATTTTTTTTACACTGGCAACTAATTATATTATTTAATTATGTTATATCATTATAAATATATTTATTTTTAACAGTGACATGACACAATTAAAAGATATAATTGATTGTCAGTATAAAAAAATTTTACACTGACAGTATATAGATGATTAACTCAAAGAATATATAGCACCTTTAGACAGATAATTTCCTTTTGAATAGTTCCTTTCGGAAAACGAACATAGATAAAAAGATTTTTGGAAAATTTTAAAAGTGAACACGTGTGGCAAGACAATAGGAAAGGATATGATTTTTTTTCCCTTCCTGTGATATGATTTTAAAGTGATGGTTTGAATTTTAAAAAAGATAGATTTTAATTGCTATTTGACTTCCTTTACTTGATTTTTTTTATTAAAACTTTGAAATTTATAATATACACGAACAAGGTTAAAGAATCTTACACCGTCATTCAATATATGCTAAATAAAAAATATTTATGAACCTATATATTCTGACTATTTATCAAAATTATAACAAAATTAAATAAACAGTTTAGTTGACTAGTGTTTACCTCAGTTAGCTGAGCCTTACTAATCTGTTATATGTAGATTACATATGAACTCACGACATATTTAACCTTCTACTTATGATAAAAGTGATGAATTTTGATTCTAATATATGCTGTTATGCACATATAGCATACAGTTCTTTTTAGTTGCTTAAGAGAGACAACAAAATATTACTTTTAAAAGATAAGAGGCTATATTCATACAATATCGAGTGAAGGGGGGGAAAGAGATTGAGAGGGGAAAAAGAAAGGAGAGAGAAAAAGTGATAAAATATAACATGTTATGCGACAAAATAAGTAGAGATATATATTAAGTAGAAAAAAAATAGGTGAAAATGAGTTTAAGAGAATGAAGTATATATATGTTTATAGTTACTCGATACATATTTGTAAATCATATATACAAGTACTTGGTAGGGAAAATTTACTTGTATTACTTGATGTAAATAGTTTGTCTAGGATATAAAAGATGACCTTTTTTTTAGATAAATTTAGGATTTATGATTTATGTATGGATCATATCACAATAAGATTAAGGAAATCGGTTTCAGAAGGTAGAAAAAATAAAAAGAAGAGAGAAATTGTACATTGTTCTCATATTTAATTACAAAAATTTGTTCTGATTTCTGAAGCATCGATCAGAAGAAAGCAATAGAGGCTCTACAAATTAAATTTGTAACTTTGTAAACACAAGAATGAAAATGGGTTCAAAAGCCAAAAATAATCATTTGGCCGTTACGACCCTGCCCAAGACCATTAAAAGACGATGGTGATGATGCCTCGTGGTGACATGCAACCAATGAAGTGATCAAAGCCTTTTCCACATCTTCGGAAATGCGTTCACGAACCAAAGAAATTACGTAGTCCAAGAAGAGGCTATCACAAGGTAACGTAATAGGTCCATTAGATGATAACCCAAATTCCTCTTCGGACCACTTGAGTAGCTCCTTAAACACCTTCTTGCTAAGGTACTTTAGAGGAACCTCGAATCGTTTGTGGTCGATGCTGTAAACCACGAAGTGACCCTTGTTTGTTGTTGCAGAATGCATATCAATTTGACGCCTCGAGTATGAAATTCTCTTGCGCTTTCTAGCTGCCATTTTCTGCCACTTTCTTGCCATTTCAATAAGCCTTTTTGCGTTGATCATGGTACAAATGTTAATCGAGGTTGTGTTTGAATGGGATCTCTATCTCACTTGTTCTTGTTTATATACTCACAAAATCAGACAGCACCATGTGATAGTGTTAGTGGATCCGTGGTATTGTGCTGATACGGTGCATGGCTACGTGGAATCATTCTACGACATGATATCAATTGATGACACGAAAATGAAATATCATTGTTGGTCATTTATTCCTTGTAACTTACGTACATGCCATAAAAGCAAAGGATGCATGATCGTTTTCTCCTCCTAGTTAGAACCATACAATAACATTTTAGGCCCAAATGGCTAAGCCCTCAAGGCATGCATCTGGTTGGGAGGTAACATATACCTAAATAATTGAAATATCTTATTCGATATTTTACACTTTTGTAAGATGCATGAAAGTAGACAAAAAGCAGAAATTAAAAATTATCCTTATATATGTATAAAGTCTTTAATACATCAAATCGCTGGTCTGGCATTAATGACACCATATGGCTAGTTGTTTATATAGAGAGAGACACATGTATACACAACTTTTTTAAAAAATATACAAGTAAAAATAATGCAATTTCTCCCTGACATATTTTTCATTATAATTTTCGCTCTTCCTCCTTGAAAGAAAGCAACTTTTGTTCCTAATTGTTGGAAATTAATACTAAACACAGTCTCTTTCATAATCTAATTTGATTGAGCTATCTAAGTTTTCCTTTTCTTCTTCTTCTTTCTCTTCCACTCTATTTTATCATGTCCTATCTTCTGGACAATTTTCTTTTTCTTTCATATCATTTTTTGATCATTGATACATTAAAACATTTGTTACCCAATTGCATACTAACCAAATTGTAAATTGACTAAATTAATTAATTAATCAAGACCGATTTTTAACGTCCAGATATTATGAAAAAATATCTTTTATTTTAAAGATCTAATAGAAGAATAATAAAATATTATCTTCCACTAACTTTTAGTTAATTCTAGAATTAATATGATATTATTTTCAAAGTCTATAATCAGTTAGCACATAGTATATCATAGTAATATCTTTACCAAAAAAAAATAGTATATCATCATAGTAATAAAGGAGTTTCTTTTACTCAAGAAACTCATTAATTCATTCAACTGTCATGGAGAAGGTCTTAACTCTTAATTTTTGGATTGAGTTTGGCAACTGTCTTGTGTTTATATTGCTTACTTTATCCCAGTTCATTTCTGAATTAAAAATGAAAATAAATAAGAATTGTAAAAAAATAATAATATGAAAGTCTCGATGTGCATTACATACTTAGTCCAACACTGAAAATTGTAATAATATAAAAAATTAAAATAAAACTTGAAATGAAAAATGAAATATATATTTTTTTTATAAAATATGAAAACTAACAAAAAAAAAATTTAAAATTATAAAACGTAGGAAACTAAGAAAAGAAGGAGGACATCTTAGTGTTAATTGATGCAAATCTTTAACTTTTTTTAAGGGCCGGGGATACAAACTTTAGATGGAAAAAAAATGATAAAATTAAAAACACACTCTCTTATTATATAAAATTAATTAAAAAAATACAATTTATTAGTTTGGTGTCTAAAGTTTCATCCTAATTATATGATTTTAACAAGAAAAAGAAAAACGTGAGTCACACAAACACACTTACCCACTCTCACTCCCGTGACTCACACCCTCTTTATCAAACCAGCAAATAGTAAACTCTCCCAAGTTCTAACAACCTCACAAAATGACTCACCCTAACACAGCACCCAACTTACTATTTTTTCCCCACTGCCACATTCTCAAAAGGTAAGAGAGAAATATTTAAATGGTTGATAAGAAGAAAATATAAAAAGTAAAAAAGTATTCAAGCAAAGTTATTTTAAAAAAACAAAAGTATATTTAGTTATCAGAGGATAGCATACTTTTAGTTTTAGAAATGACCTTAAAAAATTGTTGGGCCCACAGAGAGTATTATGGGCATATAATTTGCTTTATAAATGAATGGTTGATGGTATATACACCTCCATTTTTTTATACATACACCTCCTTTTTTTTAAAAAAAATATCAAATTCTTAAATTATTCTTAATATTATTTGAAATAAAAAAAAAAATTATTCTGGAAAGTGTTTTTTAAAGGTTGATAATATATACACCTCCTTTTTCCTATAAGTACACCTCCTTTTCAAAAAAAATAAAATTTTAAAATATTCTTAATTTTTTGCTTTTTTTTTTAATTTTACATTCATAACATTTAATTTAGTACTTTTTTTTACAGATCTTTCTTTTTTCTTCTTTTTTTCTTTTTTCAATTTTTACATGCACCCCGTTATCTTTCCTTCACCCCACCTATTTTGGTAGCACGTAAAAATTAAAAGAGAAAAAAAAAGTGTGTAAAAAAAAGAAAAAAGTAGAAAATTGAAAGTTAAAGATATAAAATTAAAATATATATATATATAATATTTTATAATTTTTTAAAAAAAATAAAGAAGGTGTACTTATAAAAAAAAACAGGAGGTGTATATATCATGAACCTTCCGAAAAGAACTTTCCGTCAGAATAATTACGGAAAGTACTTTCTGGAATACTAAAATTACTATTCCGGAAATAACTTTCCGTCAAAATAATTATGGAAAATAGTTTTCGTAACACTAGAATTACTATTGCAAAAAATTCTTTCCGGAATATTAACAGTGTGTGTATTTATTATCATAATTCCGGAAAGAACTTTCCGCAATAGTAATTTTAGTGTTACGGAAAGTACTTTCCAGAATTATTCCGACGGAAAATTATTTCCAGAATAATAATTTTAGTATTCTGGAAAGAACTTTTCATAATTATGTACAAATACACCTCTGAAAAAAAATTTTCAAGATAATTTTTTTTTATTCCAAATAATATTAAGGATAATTTAGAAATTTAATATTTTTTTTAAAAAGGAGGTGTATATATCATCAACTTAAATGAATTGGATATGCAGGAAGTATTTGGGCCTACTTGCTTAGACACACGTAGGTAAAATATTTTCAAGATTTGGGCCTACTTGCCGAGACACGTGTGGGTAAAATGTTTTCAAGATTTGGGCTTTTTATTCCATATATTGGTATCCTTCGAGACAATGTTTGGGCTAGTAGGTCTTGATATGACTAAAGAAGATCAAAAGAAATTGAAATACAATGCACTTGTAGGTGATAAATAATAATCATCTCAGTATAAAAATATTTAATAAATCAGTTATGTATTGAGAAATATTATTCAAAAAATGAGTAAATTATTTGCATTTTTCATGATAGAAAAAATAATATCATAAATTAAATAGATTTTTATACCAGGAATTATTATTATTATATGTAATAAAAATTTTAGTTTGTTATTCATATAAAATATAATTATTAAATAAATTGTACATCATTTTTAAAATATAAAATAATTTTATTTAACATTATACATGTTTAGGGTTACTAATCTCATCTCAAACTTTAAGGCTTAAAGCCTTTAACGGATCAAAATAATAATAAATTAAAAATGAAAATGCAAGTTTTGCAACTAGCTATAGAAATGCTTTTGGGTAAAGAGAAATGAAAAAGAAAGTAGTAGGAGAGAAGACAAAATACTAAAAAATGAGTATAAATTTTAGAGAAGTAGAAGGGAAATATAAATTGAAATTTATCCTCACTTATTTAGTTGCATAGAAAAATGAAAGAAAATAATTTTTTATTGAAAATATATATATATTTCCTTAACGTACGAGGCAATAAAAGACAATAATAATAAATTAAAATTGAATTTTTTTTTGTGGATTTCACACTTTTTAATATTATTTCTTCCTTTTCTTATTATAGTGTATCACAGGGTGATGGAACAGCTACTAGGCTTTGTTGGTAATAAAAAATGATAATAAATATTATTTTAAGAATAATTATTATAAAAGTTAAAAGGGTTTATTATATATATACACATATATAAAGGTAACAGCATTCATCATTTCATATATCTCTTTATCATACCATTTTACAGATTATTCTTTTACCTAATAAATAAGTATAGCATACTTATTTTAACAAATTTCTCTTAAATAAACAGAACATAAATGCCGTGTAATTATTCTGGACTCTGAAGTAGAATAACATGTTTAAACAAATAAGAATAAATTTAATCTATTTATATAAATGAGGGTATGTTTTATATATTACCCAACAGAAATTATTAGGTAATCTTAAATCAGTCTTTATATGACATCTAGAACACATTATTGTTTTTTTCTTATAAATTAAAGAATTTAAAGGTATATACAAAATGTATATAAATTGAACTTCCGAAACTTGTTAAAATCAATATATACTTTTAGATGTAAAAGGTGCTCATTAAAAAATTGTAAATTTATATTAAAATAAATATTTTAATTGATTAACTGTGTAACAGTTGTGGTATATATTCATTAGACCCGGATATACAATACTTATATCTATCTATATTTACTTAATTCAACCAAAAATACTTAGATTATAATTCATTGCAAGACTTATACACTTAATTAGTAGCCTAAAATAAAACACTAATTAATGTGGAACTTTTAATTTATTAAATAAAATTATATGTTTCTTTTGTTATTTTTTTCTAGTTCGTTGATATGCAAAATTATCAACTAAAAATAATAATTAATTTCTCCCTACATTTATTTCTCGACTTACCATATAGTTCATATTGATCAGTTTGTTAAATTTTTTTAAAAAATTATTATATAAAAAAAACGCTTCTTAAAAAAAACTTTTGTTTAGTAACTGATAAAATTTGTTTTTAAAAAAGGTAAAAAGTTACTTAGTTTAAAAATAAACAGTTTAGACAAATATATAGAAACGCATAAAATTGTTTATTTTATTAATAAAAAAACTGATTTTTTTTAAGAAAAAAGGTTAAATAAAGACAATTGATGTTTAAGATGTTCTTAGCAACTTAAATAAAAAGTTATTACCTTCTCCTTTTTTTAATGTCCTTAATATTGTCCCTATTCATTTACTTACTAACACAGTAGAAATATATTGTGATTCTGACAAATTTTATTTGTAACACTATTACCAGTTTAAACCTAGACTTTACCAAACTATCACATCTAATATAAGGATTAGTCTCACAAGTCACAACTTTTACAATAAAATTATTATAAGAAAAAATGGTCATGATTCTTTTCTTAAAAAAACGAGTCTATATATAATGAATGATCCAGAAACAGTGGAAGATCAATAACTTATTCCAGATGCCAACTGCTCTGTCATCCGTGTCTTTGAAGACAAATTGTTGCACAACTCAATCATTCAATTTCAGATTCTAATATACGCCAATTGTTTTGATATCAAAGAACATTTAACACAAAAAGTAGGAAACCTTCAATTCTGAAATACTAATTAGATGCTTTAGTTTTTACTTTTCTTTGCCCATTAGAGTTTAAACTAGCCTGTTTATCTGTAGCATTGAAGAAGCAAACTCTTGAAAGCTGAGTTAAAATATACCAAAGAAACTGTGATCAACAAGGGTTACGAATGGCCCAAGGTGTCCATCAAGAATAAGAAGCCCCAAAAAACATACTTTTGTCTGCACATATTTTTTTTCTTCCAGTTAAACTAAAAATAATAATTAAATTCATCATCTTTTTATTATTTTTTTATAATTTAGTTATTAAGTAATTAGATATTTGTTTAAAATTCAAAGTTTAACAAAATATTGTTTATATTGACATAATTTTTTTTTGTTCGTTCTTGGAATATCCACATTCGAACCCCTGACCTTGCTTAAAGGTGGATCAACCCCTACCGCTAAACCACACACTTGAAATATTATATTGACATACTTAAATAGATATATTATAGTCATATTTTATGTTATTGTAATTTTTATAAATAAAAAATATATTCTATATTATCATTTACGAATGATAACATTGAATAAAACACATGAATGATATATGATAGAACTATTTAAATATGATATATTCGGTCAAATTTTATAAGTTATAAGGAATATATATAAAAAAAATATAAATAAATAAAAATTATTTTTTAAAATTTAAGAAGTAATTAAAAAATTATAAAAATTTCATATACTAAAACGTATATTAAACCTTATAAGAAAATAACTGGTAATGATTATAATAATGAAATTCAAAGGAGAATATCATATTTTGAATCGCATCATATCGAATCAAATATATGATTGTATTCTTACTTGGCAAAATGGGATGTGAGTTGTAAACTATGATCCTAAATTCGCACTCATGAACAAGCAAATAATCATTTCCCCATCCCCACCTTCTTAAAAGCTTCATTTCTTTTTGTCTTTTGGAACACCATACGCGGAAACATTAAAAAAAAAAAAAAATCAACCAACATGCCACAATACCTCGTTTTCTGTTTTTCCCTTATTTGTTTTTTTTTTTTCTTTCTACAAATGTAGGTATCTTAATTCTCACCTCAGAGTGATTGACAGCTGTAATAGAGTAGAGACACCAAGATATTGTTCCTTCCGCAATGTGTCATTGACAATAGCCATTTAGGTGACAAAAGCTAATTATTTGGCATTTCAATGTTTATCTTCTCATCTTTTCTCACAAAAGATAAATTAACCTTTTTCTTTTCTTCTTGTATGTTCCAAGCTTAGTTCAGTAGTAGCACTAGTAGTAAAGGAAACAGAAGTGGGAAAGAACCATCCTAAAGCGTGCACCGAAACATCATCATGACCTCGTAATCAAGGTCCATCTCCATCAAGAAATAGTACTCTAAGCTAGCACTTACCACATATAAGGAAAAAAAGCAAAAACACAGCCACAGTTAGAACAAAAGAGAACACGTTTTCACAGTTAACACACACAAACAACACAGCTGTTTGGGATTGGCACATAGATACACAGGGTCGGTGAGTGAAGTCAGAAAGTGACCCCATTTAGTTTCTTTGTGTAGCCGCGTTAACTGAGTGCGTGTCCCCTTTCATTCTTATCTAATACCAAAGCCTTTTTGGAAATGCTGACCTGTTACCTTATATTCTTCTAACCTAAACCTGCTATGCTATATTTATACCTTGCTTTCTGAACCACACCCTCAAACCAATCACAATCACAAATCATGAATTTCTTTACTTGCTTCTTTTTCTTCCTTCTTGCTTCATCAGCCACTGCTTGTGATCGCTGCCTTCAACAATCCAAGGCTTCCTATTTCTCCAAAGCTTCTGCTCTTTCATGTAATTACCAACATTCATTTGTTCATTACTATCTTCAATTTTCTTATAAAACGATGTAATTAATTTATTGTGTGAATTTGACATGTGAAGCTGGGGCATGTGGGTATGGCTCTTTGACACTAGGCTTAAGTGGTGGACACCTTGCAGCTGGTGTGGCTTCTCTCTTCAAAGATGGAGCCGGTTGTGGTGCCTGCTTTCAGGTATGTACACAAATCAGGACCACTTCCAATTTCCAAGTTCCAAGTTCCAACCAATTTTTATTTGTTAGTTATTATTGTCATGAGTCATGACTAATGAACATTTTTTTTATATATGTGGCAGATACGATGCAAGAACCCAACTGTGTGCAGCAAAGAAGGCACCAGAGTGGTGTTGACTGATCTCAATCACAATAATAAAACTGACTTTGTGCTCAGCAGCAGAGCCTTTGCAGCAATGGCTCAGAAGGGTATGGGCCAACAAGTTTTGAAGCTTGGCATTGTTGACATTGAATACAAGAGGTAGGCCTTAATCACTTTAGTTTTAGATAACTTTTTATCCCTTTCCTTTTCTTTTCTTTTCTTTTCTTGCTTTGCCACTGGTTTTGCTCCGTCCCCACTTCCCACCTACCGCCCCACCACCACCACCCATACAGAACATCAATGTGGACCTAAGTTTTAATATTATCATATCATCAATCCCTAGGACAATCATGTGCCACTTTAATAACAGTAACGCTCTAATGCCTACATATATTAATAATATAATCTATAATGTCAGATATTTCATCACCCGATATTAATTTTATTATGCGGCATTAGCTCACTGAATACTAATTAATTTTTTCTCAGAGTACCATGTGAGTACAAAAATCAGAATTTGGCCGTCCGTGTAGAAGAATCAAGCAAGAAGCCTGATTACTTGGCAATTAAATTTTTGTATCAAGGGGGACAAACTGAGATAGTAGCCGTTGATGTGGCTCAGGTATGTTGTTGCTGCTTGCTAGACAAAGTATACAACTATATATTATTTGATTGAATAACGTTGGGTTTGTGGGGTACAATTATTATTAGGTTGGGTCTTCAAATTGGAGCTTCATGAGCAGAAACCATGGGGCAGTGTGGGACACAAGCAGGGTACCCAAAGGTGCATTGCAATTTCGGATAGTGGTAACGGCAGGCTATGATGGAAAGTGGATTTGGGCACAGAAGGTCCTACCTGTTGATTGGAAAAATGGAGTCCTATATGACTCTGGTGTTCAGATTACAGACATTGCACAAGAGGGTTGTTCCCCTTGCGATGATGGGACATGGTCCTGATTCATTGCTCCACAACCTCACGTATACACATAGATATAGCCATAAATTTTATTTATACTATAATGTAGGCTCACAAACCAACTCATCATAGTAATTAATACTGAGGAATCATTAATAAACTAGAGAACCATTCTTGTTACTTATTTGTAAACCACTCAATTTCTCCTTACTTTATATTCTTTCTCTTTGTAACTTATAACCCACCAAAAGAATAAATTCTCTTTTTGGAATATGTGAATTACATTTTAACTTTTTTGAATTAGATCCATTGGTTATGATTCATGAACTTAGCTTACTCATCTGACCTTGGTACTGAAACTACGCGTTAATCCTAGCTTTTATGAACTTTCTTCATGGAAGTCATAAAATTTTCACCCAATGGTGCTCTGCATATAGTTTCTCATTGTTATAAAAATTGTAGTATAAATATCATTGTTCTAAAATTAATTAGGAATTCTAGTAATGTGATCTGACAAGTAGTTTCCAACAAAATTCAAAACCTGATATTGCAGGGAAAGTTTACCCACGTGGAATTCGTATTCTTATGAGTTATCTTAGTCATACCTTGTATTTCAATCACATCTTGGCATATAACTTCAATCATATTTAGTATAATAATTGTTTCAATCATGTTCACGGTGAAGAATAGGATGGAAACGGGGCGGGTCGGGTACGGGTTTCATGATACTCGTTCGAGTCAAACTCATCCCTGTACTTGAACCCGTATCCGTCAGGTATGTGATTTTCATCCTCATCTCCGTCCCTGTCGGGTATTGGGTATACCTGTATCCGTACCTGTACCTATCAATTTTTTTATTTTTTATTTTTTTTAAAAAATATGATATTTTAAATTATTTTGTATTATATTATAATTATAATTACGTTATTTCTCTATCTCATATTATAATAAATAATCACACATAAAAAATATTAAATTTTTTTAATATAATTAAATTGAAAGCGAGTACTAAATTAAAAATGGAAACGGGACAGGTACAGGTACGGGTACGAGTATGTAAGTACATACCCGTACCCGATTTAATATATCGGGTTTTACCTGTATCCGTACCTGTACCCGGTCAAATCAGGTATTCCCCGTTAAAGTCGGGACGGGTTCAGGTATTACCCGCGAGTACAGGTATATTTGTCATCCCTAGTCAAGGACGAGGCTAACAAAGCTTTAACTTTATGTCTCTTTTAAAAAAAATTATATTAATATTTATATAATTTTTTTAAAAAAAATCATAACTTAAAAGTCACTTTTTATATTTCTAAAAACTCACTTTAAAACGTCTATATCTAAAAATTTGTAAATATAATATTTTTTCAAGATTCATATATAAAATATTGATTTAGTAAAAATATTATTATTAATTTAAAAAAATCATTTTAAAATTTGTCCAAATCTAATAATATATTGGATCGGTACTCATCATATTTTGTTGAGCTAGTATATTAAGATAGTATGAATATATTTAGATAGAGTGAAAACGAAGTAAAAACCTTTTGAGTGAACGTTTCTTTTTGTGTGAAAGTTTTATGGGAGAAGAAAACAAGATATTGTCATGTGATTTATCTCTTCCTGATTTGGAAAAAAAAAAAGTATATTATATTATGAACATTTGAATTATATCTTTTAAACCATTTTTAACAAGAATAAAATAAAATTAGAAAATAATTTAAAATTATCCTTTTGTTTTCTCTTTTTATTGATTTTCTTTTCCATTACGGCAGAGAAATTGATTTGAAGACATATAGGGGCAATAGTCCTTCCAGTATGGGCCAATAGGTTGTGTTTGTTGACAGTGTAGGCCTTGAAATATAAAGAAGCTTTTGAGGTTGAACTCTTACAAGTCCAGCAACATACATATATAAGGGTACATTTATTTTATTTAACACAAACATCCACTGCTAAGCCCATTATACTTAGCTCTTTAAGGAATGTGACTTACTTGGTGGTAAGATATTGTTTGCTATTCAGCACGTTTCTCTATTTTGGGCTTTTCTGGCCCTTGCCTTTCTCTCTACGCATCATCTCCACAAAAACAAAAACAAAAGCAATAAATAAAAGAAAAGCAGTGGATATGATTAGGTGATATTACAATATGATTACTTGATTCATACTTCGCATGGATTGCATTCGTTAACATGTCCATCTCTTTCATACTTCTTGTGTTGTTGACAACCATAAAACTATTTATGTCTCTTTAAGTCTTTTTTTTTAATGGATAATGGATCGTAATTAATAATAATTTTACCTTAATGGATGCAACTTGATGTGTATTTGAAGTAGATACTATCTATAAACTATCATTGGTCATTTCGAACATAATTACTTTCTGAAAAATTTGTGATTTATATATGTGTATAAATAAACTAATCCTGATTTAAGAACATACTTAACCTGTATATAAGGATTCACAACCTAATTTTCTATTTGTAAAGAGAATGCTAGCAAAATCACCTTCTAATAACCTTATTGTTATTAATTAAAAGTTATAAAATTATAAATGAAATTAATTAAATAAAAGTGTGATTTATGATTAAAAAAAATTATAATTTTCAATAAATTTTAATTTATATAGAATTATGTTTTTAAAAAAAAAGTGTTACTATCCCATGCCAACTTTCCATTACCCCATAATTATCTGGTAATCATAAATATTTAAAAACTAAACCCTTAATCATAAGTCCAAAGAGAACACGGGAAACAATGATGATATAATATTTTAATGTTTAAGAGAGTGTATTTTAGTGAGTAAAATATGCGAGTTGTTGTAATTAAGCCCTTCAGTGTTTAATTCTCATACATTAGAAAGAAAAAAAATCTTGAAGAGAACATGGGATTAATAATCCATCAACATTGTTCCTAAATTTCATATGAATTGGTTACTACACTACAAGACAATAATTAAGTGGAATTTTTTTCTTGTAATCCAAAGCTGACTTCATTTTCATTCTGAAAATCACATTGCGATTCTTCGTCAGACTATTTTTATTAGTGGCAAATTGAAAAACGTGGTTCTTTTTCACGAAAATAAATAATAATAATAACAATAATAATTAGAGAGAGAAAGAGAGAGGGACTCGAAACCAATTATAAATAAAAAAAATATTAATGTTTTAGTATTTATTTTTAGGTTTAAATATATTTTTAATTTTTCAAGTTTAAAGTAGATTTATTTTTAATCTCTCAAGTTTAAAATTTATTTTTTTTAACTCCTATAATTTCAAAAAAAATCTTTATACTCAAATTTATAAGAAAATTTGTCAAATACTATTATATAAAATTTACCCATTATTATACACTTTTTTAATTAAATTTAATATTATATATCTGATACTTTGATAATTTTTATTTTATATTAAAAGTTAATTTTTATTGAAGTTTATTTTAAATTGAAATTTATTTTAAATTTAATTTTTTTTAATAAGTGGGTTAGCCTGTTTAATTCACTAACTTGTGGTAGGCTGAACCAAATTAAAAAAATTTTAACATTAAAATTGATGAATTAAACAATGTGAATCCGCTTAAAAAATTAGTTGAGATGAACCTCATCAACATGTTTTTAAAATCCTATAAAAAAAACTATACACAATTGACCAATTCTCAATTTAATGTAATCCCAAATAAAGAGGTCAATTCAACTTTCACTTTATTGCAACAATCAACAATGGGTTGTCATGTAGAAAATGACATAAAAATAAGCTAACTTTTATCATAAGTTTTGAAATATAAATTATAAAACGAGAGATAGCAATTTGGAAAGTACATCATATTTCATACTTTATCATTTATTTTGAAAATATTTGCATTTAGAGGGCTAATAGTTTGGTTTGAATTGAGTTTTATCAAATTTGTTAATTAAATTGTTCGAAATTCAACAAGTTGAATTTGTGTCATTTTTTTTTACTTCAAATTAATCCAAACTTATTTAGTTATGAATGAGTTATATTGAGTTAGATCAATATAATTGTTTTAAATTTATTTTTTGAATTTATTTTTTTCTAAAAATTAACTAATTTTTAAATATACAACTCTATTTTATATTAATGTATGACGTTTCTATCAAACATATGTGTGCTTGACTTACTCTAAAATTCATCCAAAAACTTTCACACAAAAATGACTATATATATGTAGTTTGAGTCTAGCTAAAGAAAAAAAAATGTTGTGAAATCACAAAAATAAATAGCATAGTAAAGGTTCCAAATTAAATATTACTCATTACTACAACTTACAAACAACGAGTTATAGTTTTTTCTTGTATTTGTGTGTGTTGTGTAACACATAAAAATAGTTTAAGGTGAAGTTAAACACTTGTGAATTTTTAATTTAATCAAAACTCATTACTCAATCCATACATAAAAGGATTCAAATGAATTTAATTCAAACAACCAAAAAAAAACTAATCCAAAGTAATTGAGTTATTTAGGTCAATTCAAGTTTATGGGTTATTATAACGACTTGTCATGACCCAACAACTAACTGTGAAAATAAACATCTAACTATCTAATGTTAACATGAGAACAGTTATAGATATACATACAACAATATATACATACATATATATATATATATATATATATATACCGTGC